GCGCCTCGCGGCACACGTTTTTCAAGTTCAGCCTGTCCTTCCGGGGGTGGGGGGCGGGGGTCTTCGGCCCGCTCGGCCCTGAGCGCGTGTGCCGGGTGGTGGAGGGCGGCCTCAGCCAGATCCCTGGGCTCTCCCTGGCCCCCGCCCTTGCCGAGAGCCGGGCTGGTTCTGGAAGCTTCGGGAGCCGGCGCCCCGCCCCGTGCCCGGATGCTGGGCGGGGGCGGGCTGCGCGGCGGCGCCCCCTCCTCGCGTGGCCCGGCCGGCGCATGTCCGGCAGTGACGAGGGTCGGCAGGGCCCAGCGAGCTGCGGCCACCATCTTGGTTGCGTTTGGACTCGTCCTGCGCGTTCGCCCCGAGCTGTGGGTCATGCGGGAGCTTAGCCGCCTCCCTCCTTTGTCCTGCTTTAACTGCTCCCCCGGGCGGCGCTCTCCGTCTTCGGGCTGCCTTCCCCTCTGCGCGGGGTAGCATTCCAGATCCATTTAGTTACTCAGTGCTTTTTCTTTCCTAAATTAAGAACAGTAATAATGTAAACACTAAAATGGATTTTGCCTTTTCCTGGGCTGGATTTTTTTTAATTTTATATGCTTCTAAAACTCATGGGTCACCAAGTAGCAGTGGTCTACGATGCCTTCTCAGAAAGCCCTATTTTTGTTAGAATGTGTTTTTTTTCCCTTCCATAATTTTCTCCCTTGTAGGCATGCAGCCTTGAATCCTTAGGTTCTTAACAGCCCTTGGGAGTGGGCTAGCACTGTGCACCCTTTGAGCTAAACCTCACTTTATCTGGTCTTTAACAACTGACCAGGACGAGCTTTCTCAGGGTTTGCTCCATGCTTTGTGAAAGAAAGTACAGCCTGTCCTGTTTGTGGCTCTGGCTATGGTCGTTCCCGATTCTTGCAGATGCCTGAGGAAGTGCACCATGGAGAGGAGGAGGTGGAGACCTTTGCCTTTCAGGCGGAGATCGCCCAACTCATGTCCCTCATCATCAATACCTTCTATTCTAACAAGGAGATTTTCCTTCGGGAGTTGATCTCTAATGCTTCTGATGTAAGTGTTTAGACTTTGTATTGCTGTAGTTTTTGAACACCCCCAAAAAGAGATACGGATAGTTGGACATTTGGGTGGGTGGGGGCTGAACCCACCAACCACTCAATGAGAGAAAATGAAGTTTTCAGCTCCTGTCAAGATTTACAGTATAGGAAACCCACAGGGGCAGTTTTATAGGGTCCCAGGTTTGACTAAATGGCAATGATTTCCTCCTCCCCTTAATTTTGATTTAAAAAAAAACATTTTTCTCACTTGAATTATTGGTTAAGGTGTAAACCTGCTGAGGTTCCAACCCATCAGGAACCTCTGGGAGGAAAGACCTGGAGCCCACCAGTAAAGATAATGGATCTTAGCATTGGAAGCACAATAAAAGGTCTTGGGAGAGTAGGGACTGGGGTTATGGAACTAGAACATAAATCCCAAGCCAAAAGATCCCATGCTAAGAATGGGACCATTTTGAGGTTGAAAGGGAGTCTGGGTTAGATGCTGGCATGTTAAGGGGCAATCGGAAGTGAGACGTTCGGAGTAGGAAAACCAGTAGACTCATTTGAATTAACAGGTGGGCTTTAAGAAAGGATCCTAAGTGTGTGTGTGGTTTTCTACCCCTACCCCTGTGGTCTGTTTCCCCAGGCCTTGGACAAGATTCGCTATGAGAGCCTGACAGACCCTTCCAAGTTGGACAGTGGAAAAGAGCTGAAAATCGACATCATCCCCAACCCTCAGGAGCGCACCCTGACTCTAGTGGACACAGGCATTGGCATGACCAAGGCTGATCTCATCAATAATCTGGGAACCATTGCCAAGTCGGGTACCAAAGCATTCATGGAGGCTCTGCAGGTAGCCAGCCTTTCTGCAAGGCTCCATTTACTTGACTCTGTCACCTTTTAGTTTCCTCAGAAGTTGGTTGCTTTTGATTTATTTTCAACTTCCTTTTTGGTAGGCTGGTGCGGACATCTCCATGATTGGGCAATTTGGTGTTGGCTTTTATTCTGCCTACTTGGTGGCAGAGAAAGTGGTTGTGATCACAAAACACAATGATGATGAGCAGTACGCCTGGGAGTCTTCTGCTGGGGGCTCCTTCACTGTCCGTGCTGACCATGGTGAGCACCATGCATTGCATGTGGTAGCAGTTATTGGGGGTTGGGGTATCCTATAGTGGAAGTTCAAAGTGCATTTTATTCTAAAGCCGTTTCTTTGGCAAATAGTTGCATGTTTAGTCTTTACTGTGCTAGGTCTATGACAATTGCTTTTCACCTCCACTTGTCAGGTGAGCCCATTGGCCGGGGAACTAAAGTGATTCTGCACCTCAAAGAAGACCAGACAGAGTACCTAGAGGAGAGGCGAGTCAAAGAAGTAGTGAAGAAGCACTCTCAGTTCATTGGCTACCCCATCACCCTCTATGTGAGTGTGGCAGGGGTGCAGGAGCCTCGCCTTCTGAGTAAGTTTATGTGGTTCACAGCTTCTGCTTTCCCTAGTATTCCAAAACGTGGGTTTTTTTTTGTTTTTTTTTTCCGGTACTTTAAAGCTGGAGAAGGAACGGGAGAAGGAAATCAGTGATGATGAAGCCGAGGAAGAGAAAGGTGAGAAAGAAGAAGAAAAGGATGAGGAAGAGAAGCCCAAGATTGAAGATGTGGGCTCAGATGAGGAGGATGATAGTGGTAAGGACAAGAAGAAGAAAACCAAGAAGATTAAGGAGAAGTACATTGACCGGGAAGAACTAAATAAGACCAAGCCCATTTGGACCAGAAATCCTGATGATATCACCCAGGAGGAGTATGGAGAATTCTACAAGAGTCTTACTAATGACTGGGAAGACCATTTGGCAGTCAAGGTGAGAAGCATTCCTTATTGGTTTTAGTTACAGGGGAAGGTAGGAAGGTATTACTGTTAGTAGAGAATGGAACTTGCCCAACTGGGCTGGTGACGTGATGTGACTGGAGGCTGGGAAAAAAGCATGGATGCCACTTACTGATGACCCTTCAGTGTAGACTTTGTACTGGCTTTCATGTACCCCAGGACTTTGGCTTACTACTACACAGTGTTTATCTCTAGTTTGGGGTGGGGGGGCTTTATCTTAAAGTTGAAGGTATTTGGCATCAATTAAAACCGTCCTCCCCCTTTTATGTGTTTTCCTTAAACCTTGAAGCACACTATTGGCTTACTGTGGCCTTTTTCTTTCAGCACTTTTCTGTAGAAGGGCAGTTGGAATTCAGGGCATTGTTGTTTATCCCTCGCCGTGCTCCCTTTGACCTCTTTGAGAACAAGAAGAAAAAGAACAACATTAAGCTTTATGTCCGCCGTGTGTTCATCATGGACAGCTGTGACGAGTTAATCCCAGAGTATCTCAGTGAGTAGCCTTAATCCTTCCATGGTCTCCAGTATATATGTGTTTATTCTTTTGGAAGTGAGAGGTTCTCCACAGGCTTGAGGGAGTTGAAGGCTCTATCCCTGGTAATTCCTGGTCCTCTGTATGGTAACAAGTAGTCAGTGAGCCTTCGACTTGTATCTGGAGCATTGTGTCTGGCCCTGGTTTTTTGCAGACTTCATCCGTGGTGTGGTCGACTCGGAGGACCTGCCCCTCAACATCTCCCGAGAGATGCTCCAGCAGAGCAAGATCCTGAAGGTCATCCGCAAGAACATTGTCAAGAAGTGCCTGGAGCTCTTCTCTGAGTTGGCAGAAGACAAGGAGAACTACAAGAAATTCTATGAGGCTTTCTCCAAAAACCTGAAGGTAAGGGTACAAGTAAATAATGGTCATTTGACCAGTTTTCTTAATGAAAGTGGCCTTTTCCATCCACATAGAGGGAATAAGATTAGAGTTTTTGATTGACCCTTACAGCTTGGCATCCATGAGGACTCCACCAACCGGCGGCGCCTTTCGGAGTTGCTGCGCTATCACACCTCCCAGTCTGGAGACGAGATGACTTCCCTCTCAGAATATGTTTCCCGGATGAAGGAGACCCAGAAGTCCATCTATTACATTACCGGTGGGTTGGAGGTGGTTATA